ATTTTGCGTCAAAACCCCCAAATTTTGGCTCAAAAAAACAATTTTTGGGTCAAAAAGCCCAAATTTTTTCTCAAAATCCCCAAATTTTGAATCCTCAGCTCAATTTTCACAGATTTAAGGCCAAATTTTCCACAATTTTCGTTCAAATTTTCCCCAATTTCAGGATTTTCACCCCAAATCCCCCAACTTTGGGTCAAAAAATCCAAATTTTTGCTCAAAATCCCCAAATTTTGGGTGGAAAATCCCAAATTTTGTGTTCCTCATCTCCATTTTCCAGAATTTGGGTCAATTTTGTGAGGATTTTGAGCAAATTTTGCCCCATTTTTGGAATTCCCCCCACAATTCCCCCAATTTTTGGGTGGAAAAACCCAAATTTTGGGTCAAAGAAACCAAATTTTGGGTCGAAAATCCCAAATTTTGGGTGTAAAATCCCGAATTTTTTCATTCTCACCTGGATTTTGGGGGTTTTTGCCGCCTCCCGGGCCCAGAGCTCGAGAGGCTCCCAAAGCCGGGGCCCCCCCCGGAGCAGCAGCCGCGCCCCGAGATGGCCCAGAGCCCGCTGGCAGCTCCTCCTGGAATAAAAATTCACATTTTTAACACAAAATTGAAAAATTTTAAATTTTCCAGAAAAAATCCTGAATTTTCAGAAAAAAATTTGGAGTTTTTAGCAAAAAAATTGTGGTTTTTAAGGTAAAATTCACCTTTTTTTGGTGAAAATTTGGATTTTTTTCTCCCCAAATTTGGGGTTTTTACCAAAAATCCCCAATTTTAACCCAAAATCTACAAATTTTGGTGTTTCCCAAAAAAATCCCAAATTTTCAGCGAAAAAATCCAAATTTTGGGTGAATTTTAGGATTTTTTGGGGAATTTTTTTATGAATTTTGGCTCAATCTTTGGCAGAATTTTGGGGGATTTTTTTTTGTGAATTTTGGGTCAATTTTGGGTGAATTTTTGGGGGAATTTAAGGTAAATTTTGGGCAAATTTTGCCTGAATTTTTGGTGATTTTTTTGTGAATTTTTGTTGAATTTTTTGTGAATTTTTTGTGAATTTTATAATTTTTTTTTCATTTCCCCGCCCCTCCCCCACTCACTCCGTCTCTCGGTCCAAGGCCTCGACCAAAACCTGTGGGAGCCTGGAAAGGGGCGGAGCCAGCGTTAGCCACGCCCCCTCCGCTTCAAACCATGCCCCTTTCCCATTAAACGTCATTTAAACCAAGCCACGCCCCCTTTTTAAAGCCCCGCCCACTCCCCATTATGTTCAATGGGATTTAAGCCACGCCCACTCCCCATTAAAATCATTGGAGCCCAAGCCCCGCCCACTCCCATTGATTTCAATGGAGCCCAAGCCACGCCCACTCCCCATAGAAACCAATGGAGCCCAAGCCACGCCCACTCCCCATTGAAACCAGTAATATTTAAGCCACGCCCACTCCCCATTGAAACGAATGAAGCCCAAGCCCCGCCCGCTCCCATTGATTTCAATGGTATTTAAGCCACGCCCACTCCCCATTGATTCCAATGGAGCCCAAGCCACGCCCACTCCCCATTGATTCCAATGGAGCCCAAGCCCCGCCCACTCCCTATTAATTTCAATTAGATTTAAGCCACGCCCCTTCCTTCCCTATTAAAACGAATGGACCCCAAGCCCCGCCCACTCCCCATAGATTCCAATGGGATTTAAGCCACGCCCACTCCCCATTAAAATCAATGGAGCCCAAGCCCCGCCCACTCCCATTGAAACCAATGGAGCCCAAGCCACACCCACTCCCCATTAACTTCAATTATATGTAAGCCACGCCCACTCCCCGTTGGTTCCATTGGAACCCAAGCCACGCCCACTCCCCATTAACTTCAATTATATTTAAGCCACGCCCACTCTCCATTAATACCAATGGAGCCCAAGCCCCGCCCACTCCCAATTGAAACCAAAGGAGCCCAAGCCACGCCCCCTCCCATTGATTTCAATGGAGCCCAAGCCACGCCCACTCCCCATTGATTCCAATGGAATTTAAGCCCCGCCCACTCCCCATTGAAACCAATGGAACTTAAGCCACGCCCACTCCCCATTAAAACCAATGGAGCCCAAGCCACGCCCACTCCCTATTGATTCCAATGGAGCCCAAGCCCCGCCCACTCTCCATTAATTTCAATTAGATTTAAGCCACGCCCCTTCCTTCCCTATTAAAACGAATGGACCCCAAGCCTCGCCCACTCCCTATAGAGTCCAATGGGATTTAAGCCACGCCCACTCCCCATTAAAATCAATGGAGCCCAAGCCCCGCCCACTCCCATTGAAACCAATGGAGCCCAAGCCACGCCCACTCCCCCTTAACTTCAATTATATTTAAGCCACGCCCACTCCCCATTAATACCAATGGAGCCCAAGCCCCGCCCACTCCCAATTGAAACCAATGCAAACCAAGCCACGCCCACTCCCCATTGATTCCAATGGAGCCCAAGCCACGCCCACTCCTCATTGATTCCAATAGTATTTAAGCCACACCCACTCCCATTGAAACCAATGGAGCCCAAGCCACGCCCACTCCCACTGAAACTAATGGAGCCCAAGCCCCGCCCATTCCGTCAAGCCCCGCCCACCTGTCAATCATTTCCGCCGGAAGTTTCCTCAGGAACCGCCGGAGCAAAAGCGCGGCCAAATTGCGGATCTGGGAACCCCAAAAATGGCCAAAATCACCCCCAAAATACCAAAATTGTGGATGGAAACCCCAAAATTCTCAAAATTCCACCCGGAAAACCCCAAAATCGCCGAAATTCACCCAAAAATCCCAAAACTTCCATCCCAAAACCCCCAAAATCAGAAAAAAACGCACCGGAAAAAAACCCCAAAACGGCCAAAATCACCCCAAAAATACCCAAATTTTGGATGGAAACCCCAAAATTCCAAAAATTCCACCCGGAAAACCCCAAAATCCCCAAAATTAACCCCAAAATCCTAAAAATTCCACCCGGAAAATCCTGAAATTCCCAAAATTTATCCCAAAAAAACCCAAAATTCCCAAATTTTACCAAAATC